CCTGCCAGCCAAAAGTGATGGCACCTGGGATGGCCCATGGAATGGGTTGGCAGCCCCCTTTCACTTCCAGAACCTCTCCCCTGAACATTTAGTTCCACTAATCGATAGGAACTGTGGTGGGGAAAAGGGAGAGCACTGGAGAAACTGCAAATGTTTTCATAGTAACCAATTTAATTTAAATAACATCTAATAATCTGTACATATCTGTAGCTCAAGGAAGCCTAGCCACAGAAAACTCCTCAGAACCCTTCACTGCAATGAAGAATGATACTGAAATCATCAACAATTTGTATTGGCATAATTACCTATGCATACTTCTTCAACAATGAAGCAAAATGTGCTTTTGTTACTATTTTTAACAAAAAAAATTTATGTGTCAGGCATGGTTGTGAATCTATAACCCCACCACTTAGGAGGCTGAGGCTGGAGAATTTTGAGTTTGAAGCTAACCTGGGCTACACAGTGAGCCCCTATCTCAAACACACACACAGTGGTTGGGGGAGGGAGACTAACAACAATAAAACTTTTTTGGGGGATGGGGAATAAATTGGCATTAGAACCTACAAATTCCTCACAAGCCTGAAAACCCCAATCCAATGTCACAGTATATATTCCACCACCCAAGACAAAAGCAACCCAGCCACCACGGTCAGGACCAAGTCTACTACTTACTGGCTTACTAGTACCCTTAGATGTGGCAGGGGTCATAGGAAAACAGCAACTCCTACCACTCCTGTTCGGGCAAAGGGTTCTCCCAGAACAGTTTCTCTCTCTCTAGTCTCAAAACCAGATACTAAGGTAGGAATCTGGGGACAGCACTCCTGGCCTTCCCCACTCCAACCATGCTGCTCAAGCAGGAACCACCAGCACAAGAGCTGCAGGCAGAGTGCCTTGGCTCTGCTGCCAAAGTGATGTACAGTCCTGTTGTGTTGAAGATGAGGGGACAAGCAATAGCGTGGACAACTCTCCACGGTGGGCATCGCCTGCTCATGGACTGTGCATTCAGGGACACTGGGACACAATGCTTGCCCCTACTGCACATGCCTGGCAAGCTCCACATTTTGTCAAGTCAAAAAGTGATCACCTTAGTTGGGTAGAGTGGTGTACAAATTATAGCCCTACACTCAGGACTGATATCACTTGAGCCTAGGAGTTTGAGACCAGCTTGGGCAACACAGCAAGATGTTGTGTTGATAGACAGACAGACAGGACAGATTTGATATAAACATAAACAGGTTACAAAGATAAATGTTAGCACTCTTTGTGTACATGCGTAAGGTACAGTGCTGAAGATTGCACCTGCCCTACCACTGAGCTACACTCCCAGCCCCATAATTTTCTCATTTTAAGGGTGTGTGCTTGTTTGTTTAGGCAGGGTCTCATTATATAGTCCAGGATGGGCGTGAACTCAAGATCCTTCCAACTCTGTCTCCCAAGTGCTGGGATTACAGGTGTGAGCCACCATGCCTAGCCACACTTTTCTACTTTAAACAGAGGTGTTCAATTCAAAATATACAACATGAAACCAAGCTTCCTTTCTTATAAATGACACTGCCTTTATTAATCATAACATACCACTTCTAAAAAACAAAATGTTTTTGCAAACATAATTAACAATTACATCTCACAGTAAGCATAAACTTAGCATTCCCAGGTCAGTGCTGGACAGCAGTTCTATCCATATGTAGCACTGTTCACTCTGTAATTCGACAACAGCTATTATAAGCCAGCAGCATGGGTGCTATCTAGGAACGTTTTACTCTTGCCACTTCCTGAAAAGGCCTAGACCCTCCTGGCTTACCAAAAGTGATGCTAAGAAAATGAGAATTAGCCAGGTGCCGGTGGCTCACGCCTGAAATCCTAGCTACTCAGGAGGCAGAGCTCAAGAGGATCACAGTTCGAAGCCAGCCTGGGCAATAGTTCATGAGCCTCTTATCTCGAAAAAATCCTTCACAAAAAAGGGCTGGTGGAGTGGCCCTGAGTTCAAACCTCAGTTCGCAAAAAGAGAAAGAAGGAAAAATGACAATTGCACCAGCAGTCTGCCTAAACCAGTTTTATGCTAATGAAAAGTGAAAGTTGGGGTACAGTTCAGTGGTAGAGCACTTTTTAGCATGCACAAAGCCCTGGGATCCATTCCCAGCAAACCAACACACACACGCGCCCCACAAAGACCCAGCTAGACCAATGTAAAAAACAAAACAAAACAAAACACTAGATCTAATTATTTTCACTTAGCCTCACTTCCTTAGCAGAAATCTTTAAAGATGAGTGTTACCATTTCCACTTTCAAGGTAGGAAACTGAGGCACAAAGAACTGAAGAAAGGTGCCTATGGTCAAGGGTAGCATAGGCTGTCCTGCAACTGAGTCATCACAGCCCACCTGACAGCATCTCAGGACAGGTCCAGCATCACCGTACCTAAGTGACATCTGCACTTGAGAAAACAGCAAGCAGCACATTTGCATTTGCTCACTTATTAGAGGGTTTGACCTCACATCTAATCCAGATCATTCATACTCTACCTTAAGTGACCAAAATGTAAGTAATAAAATAACAAGTGATAATAGTAACAATAAAAAGATATCAGAGAATCTGTACAACTGTTTTGTTTTGTTTTTATTTAACTCTGCATTTTTTTTAAGGTCAGGAAAGATCACAGAGTGTGGACATGTAGACATGCAGAGAGACCACTCATACTGCATGTGGGTCTTGCCACCTGGTTACACGCTGCCCCCAGTCCCTGTGCCCTACACCCAGAAGGCCTCCCTTCTGTGCAATGACACAGACTTCCCTCCACAGCACATGCTCACCTTTACTCAGCCCAAACAACACTGACAAAAAAAAAAAAAAAAATCATTATTAGCTGAGTATTTATAGTTCACAAAAGTAACAAATGAGGTAAGTACCTTGAATTATTACTGTGGTATGGTCAAAAGACTAGAACTGCCATGTTATAAAACATGTAGATGGTAGATCAATACCATCTACTGCTCTCAACTCACAGGAGCCAATTTCATTTCTGTGAGCAAAGGGTCCTGATATGGTTTCCCTCTCGTCAGGGAAACACGTGATTTGAGTCACTAATATCAATAATCAAATTTTTCCACTAAGAAAAGAGTCATTTTGCTTTTTCTCCTTACTGGTCAAGGTCCTCACTATACTTTGCAGACAAAGATACAGCTCAGCCCTCAGGTATAGATGGCTGGTTTCCCCACCATTGTTACCTCTTCTGCCTCCTGTGCACTCTGATCCACAGTGGATAGCTGTGATGACAGGTGAGAAGACCTCTCACCTGACCACCAACACCCCCACTGGGGGAGCTGACTTCTTCTTAACCCTAACACCCTGACGATAGATGAAGGCCTGCCCAGAGACATCCTGGGTTTCCTTTTCAACAACCCTCACCTCTATGGCCAATTAACACTCCAGTCAAGTGAGATACCATGAGGTTCATTTTCACTGTGGCCTGACTCAATGACAACCAAGATAAAGGATCAAATTCCTTTTTTGGCAGCACTGGAGTTTGAACTCGGGGCCTCGCGCTTACTAGGCAGGTGCTTAGGTACTTTTAAGATAGGGCCTCAAGAACTATTTGACCAGGGCTTGCTTGGAACCACACGATCTTCTGGACCTCTGCCTCCAAGATTATAGGTGTTATCCACTGGTGGCTGGCAGGATGAATTCTTAAAAGTTAGCAAATTCATTAAGGAGGTTTCCAGAAAACCTTCTTTCAAGTCTGCTATGAAGAACAACACAAAATAGATAAAATGCTTCTGGACTGCTTACTTTAAAATATGAACTAGTACCCAGGCAAGGTATAAAAAACCAAAATGAGCCCTGAATCTTCTTTCCAGTTAATTCACCCATTATACAGCATAAACAATCTACTGGCCACTATGCATCTCCCCAGCAAAGACTTTGTCCTGCAGTCAGACCCAAGGCCAAATGGGCCTTAATGGAGGCAAATGTCTCTCCTCTTACAACAAACAAACAAAAAAAGCCAGTCATTCCCAGAAGGAAATGAGAAGTCAGGGCAAAACAGTCAAGGATCTTGTGCCTTCTTACAGCCTCCCCAGGCTTCTAGAACACCTCAAATAGTTACAGCCCTACCCCACAATGACTCTGCTCAGCAGCACAGGGTAGCCAGATCAAAGTTCCCAGACTGGTCCTGTTCCCTCCCAAAGCTACACTACATAGCAAGCATGAGGCCCTAAGTTCAAACTCCAGTACTGGGTTTAAAAAAAAAAAAAACAACCCAAAGCTACATTACAACAGTTAATGCAACATGCACAGAGTACAAAACAAAAACAACTGTAAGATCTCTAGAGTATTTAGGGAAGGTGAAAATCAAATAAAGGAAGTTGAGAAGAAATAAGCTGGTTTTCCAGCTGAGGCTACCAGCCTGTCAAATTTTCAGTAAAATTCCCTGTCAGTGTCACACAAGAGGTGTTACTTACTGACCTCAGAGAGCTGATGGCAGCCTTTCCAAATGAAATCCAGGACAAGACAAAACACTAAGCAAAATTCCTTCAAGCCTAAGAAAACAACCTGGAGACTTTTTGTTTGGAAGGGGCAGGGGTTGTTTATTTTTTGGTGGGTGGCGGTCTTAATTAGGGTTTGAACTCAGGACCTCATTACTTGCTAGGCAGGCAATCTACCATATGAGTCATGCCTCTAGCCCTTTTTGCTTTGGTTATTGTTGAAATAGAGTCTCACTTTATGCCCAGAATGGCTAGATGCTCCTATCTGTGCTTCCCTGCGTAGCTGGGATGGCAAGTACACAACCACCATACCCAGCCAATGGCTGAGATGGAATCTCACAAACTTTTTGCCCAGACAGGCCTGGAACTGTGATCCTCCCAATCTCCACCTTCTATACAGCTAGTATTATAGCCTTGAGCCACTGTGCCCGACCCAACCTGAAGACTTTGTACTCATTTTCAGAAACCAATGGACAACAATACAGATCAGTAAGAGCAAATACAGTGAAACAGTACTCACCGATTCCATGGTGGGAAGTCAGTGCTGCTGAAGACTGGGTGTTAACTCCAGCAGGGCTGTGAGTTCTGAAATGGGAGAAGAAAAGCAAATCTAGTCAAAATACTAATCTCCACTTCAGCTCCTTTCACAGTTTTAGTATCCCTACATCTGGACCAACTACACTGTAACAGAACATTACTGAGATGAGTCTTTGGCTGGTCTGGGGTTATAAAAGGCTCACACTTGATGACTTACTTTGGGGAACTGTCCACTCTCAACATTCTCTTCTAGAAAACAAGACCCCACAGGCCAAGCTGAGGGAAGTACTCATTCCTGGTTGCCTGATGACCTAGGGCAGCATGTCTTCCTCCCCTAGAGGGGCGTTAGGCTTAGTGATCCTACTAAGGAGCACCTCAGACTTCCCATCAGGGAAACATGTAATTTGAGTCACTAATTATCAATAATCAAAGCTTAGGTAGAAGTTGCCAGAAACCTCACAATACAACTATCAAGGCTATGCATTTTGATTCTTCTATGGAATTCCTGTCACACACTTCTTCAGCCTCCCACACTCCCTCTCCCACCTGAGCCTTGCCTATTCCCCAACCATTGCAGGCTATGGTCAAGGTTCCTCACAGGACATGTGACTACTCAATGCTCATCACAGGTGACCCCATTCCCTCTGCTCACTCTCCTCAACCTAAATCTGCCTAGGAATCCATTCTCAAAGACACAAGACTGTAATTCAGAACAAATATGCATCACATGATTCCAATTCAGAAAAGAGACTCCAGCATCCTCCCACCATTAGTTTGCATTTGCCCAATATAACTCAGGAGAAAGCAGAAGATGGTGGTGAACCCTTAAATGCCTGAACATCTTATACGGGATGAAAAAATATGAATGGGGATGGAGAGTAGAGAGATGGGGTCTTTACAATAGTACAATGGTGGTGGTGTTCCATAAGGCAGCTCAGCAAGGCTGGAGGCTCAGTAAGGCTGGCAGTACATGGGGCAAATTTAACAGAGAGAGCCAGGTACCAATGGTTCATACTTGTAATCCTACCTACTCAGGAAGCAGAGATCAGGAGGCTCATGGTTCAAAGCCAGCCCTGGGCAAACAGCTCACAAGACCCTATCTCAATAATACAACATACAAAAAAGGACTGGTGGAGTGGCTCAGGCAGTAAGAGCCAACTGCCTAGCAATTCAAACCCCAATACTGCTGAAAAAAGAAAAATTAACTGGAAGAAACTATAGGGAAGTCCATGTCCAGCAAGCAGGACTCTCTTCTAGTTCATTCCATACAAACACAGGTCCCCTCTGCATACTGACACCTAAGTATAAATACTTTCTTTATTACTATTAAGCTACAGATACATGTGTCAACATTCCCCAATCTCAAAAACCTTAACAGTGAGTGGTCTGAACAGGTCTCCGAGGATATATTAAATGTAACTGTCCTCAGGTATCTGTGGAAGGACTGGTGCCAAGATCCCACAGACACACACAAAAATCCCTTATGTAAAATGCCATATTACTTGCTCAGAACCTAGGCACATGTTCCCATATACTTTAAATAATCTCCAAATCTCTCACAACAACTAGCATAATGTAAATGCTGTGTGAACAGCTATTATCATGAGAAGAAAAAGACTGTACAAATGCCATTTTTTCTGAACATTTTCAATTCAACAGATTGATTCCACAGACGCTTATACCTGCAGATACAGAGGACTGACCACATTTTTAACTTGCAAAAGCACATCAAACTTGGTATGTTGGATTTATTACGAATTCAGTAAGGCTTCAAGCAAAACACTAAGATTCAAAACCAGGGTTCCTGTGGCAGGCAGGAAGTACATCAGGAATACCCAGAGCACTGGCAAAGCACTGCCTGGGCTTACTGTACACACCCACAGCCCTGCAGTGGTGCCCTTTCGTTCTTCCTGCCAATCACAGGGAAAAGACAACAGAAAGCAACAGCCATACTAGTCTCTGGTTCCCTTATTCTGCAAGTAATTGCACTTTCGTTTTGTGATTAACTAAAGTAATTTATTTCTGTAATTCACAAGTAGGAATTTAATTAAAGGTACAAAGACAACTAAAAACATTTTCATTCAGTAAGTATTTTTACATCAAAATGTATGCAATTAAAGGTAAGCCTAAAGTCTAACCTCAAAAAAAGTAAATGGTACTATACTCAATCTTGCAAAATCACTATAAAACTTCCTTATATAAAGAAATCAAAAAACTCAATTAACCACTGTAGTCTTGCCATATGAACATAATAACATACCAGTTAAGTTTAAGGTAATTTTAAATTTCAGAAGTATATTAAGTTTTAAAGTATAAAAAAGGCCCAGGAGAATAGTAATTTTCATTTCCCCTGAGTGCTTTAAAAAGGAAAGATTATACACAGCATCATGAAAACGGACAGAATAAAATCACATCATCTCCCTGGAAAGCCCGGAGATCATCAAGAATAAAATAAACTAACTCACACCTATAATCCTAGCTACTTGGGAGGCTGAGATCAGGAGGATGACTGTTAAGGGTCAGCCTGGGCCAAAAAAAAAAGTCTGTGAGACCTCATTTCAGCCAACAGTTAGGCATGGTGGTACATTACCTGTCAGCCCAGCTCCAACAGGAAGCATAAAATGGGAGAACTGCAGTCCAGCCAAGCCTGGGAAAAAAACGAGACCCTAACTCAAAAATAACCAGAGAAAAGGCACAGGAGGCATGGCTCAAGTGGTACAGCACCTGCCTAGCAAGCATGAAGCCCTGAGTTCTAACTTCAGCATAACAAAAATAAAAAAAAAAAAAAGATGAATAAAACAAACCAGAGGGCAGAGAGGCAAGGTCACCATACCCTTTTAAAACCAGGATACCATTCGGCTTTCCTCCAACTCCAAACACTTTGTAAGTGCAGAATCAGCTAGGAACCAGAAGGCTCCCAGGACAGATGTGTTATGCTGGCCTCAAGGAGGATCCCATACTCTGGCCTCAATACACAGAAGAGTCCCACAGTTTCCTGATCTGTACCAATTTTGTATATGCATTCTGCAAGGATGAAGTAAGACTGTTCTGTCCTTGTACTCACTTCTGTGTGGAATTTTTCAAAGCCACCATGGCCTCAAGGGCTATCAAATAACACAAATAAGCAGCGTCCAATCAACACATATCCCAGTTTTAACGAAAAGCACCATGTGTCACTGAACTTTTCAACTTTTCTACAAATACTGAGTGTGAAATAAATGTCTACACCAAGAATCCAGTAAGCAACAAGAATACCTATGACTAAAATTTGGAAGAACACTTAGCAGTTCCAACGTTTTCAAACTCAGAACCACTAACATTTGGGGCCAGAGCCCACACAGTGAAAAAGGCTGAGCAGCTTTCCTAGCCTCACCCTAAGAAATACTACTAGGACCGCCACCAAGCCATGACAATCAAAAGTGTCTCCAGCCAATGTCACATGTTTCCTACAGGAAAAGACAGCTTGACAGAGGAGGGCTACTTTCATACAACTGTCTGGTATCTGAGGAAATTGGGCTCAAAAGTGGTAGTGAGGCTAAGGAAGTGTCTATAGTCTAAGGCCACATCAGACGCTACGAGAGAGCGGGGAACAGAATCCTAGTCTAAAGTCATTTGTTCTAAATGAGGAGAATACACTGAGTCCATTATTTCTGGAAAACAATATATATAAAGAGTCTCTAAAATATTTGGAATTAACATTGAAGAAATATTCTAAGATGGGAAAAAAAGCTTCATTTGAACAATGTCTTCATTAAAACCACAAGAGCTATATATAAACTATGCTTTCACCCAGAAACACACCAAACATTTTGCTGTCGGCTTATAGCTACAGCAGTGGTATGTCCTCCAACTGAGAATCTGGGGAGAACAGAGTGCAGATGCCAGGGCCAGCAGAGTGGGTCAAGTGGCAGAGCACCTACCTAGCAATTGTGAGGTCCTAAGTTCAAATCCCAGCACTCCCCCCCCCCCAAAAAAACTGACCTACTGATTGGGCTGGGATGTGGCTCAAATGGTAAAGCACTTGCCTAGCAAGTACAAGGTCCTGATTTCAAATTCTAGTAACTCTCCAAAATAAAAGGAATTAAGGCTGGGTATGGTGACTCATTCCTGTAATCCCAGTCAAATACTGAGAGGACCATGGTTTGAGATCATTCCAAACAAAAAATTAGTGAGACTCCATCTCGACAAACACGCTGGGCATGGTAGTTCCACTCTGTAATCTCAGCTATATGAGGATACTACTGATATAATGATATAAGCAATAACTTGAGCAGCTCTCAGGGGGATTTAGAAAAGCCAATTCCAAAGGATTGTTTGTTGCTGGTTTTTTTTTTTTAAGACAGGGTCTTACTACATAGCCCAGGCTGGCCTCCTCATTCTCCTGCCTCAGCCGCCTGAGTGCTGGGATTACAGCTGTGTCCACTATGACTGGCTGAAAGAATTACATTTATATAAGGACATTCTTATGTAACAAAAACCATACACTATAGTTTTACAAAATGTAACCATCAGAAGAAACTGAACAAAGTATACATGGGAATGCTCTGAATTGGTGTGCGTGCGTGCGTGTGTGTGTGTGTGTGTGTGTGTGTGAGAGAGAGAGAGAGAGAGAGAGAGAGAGAGAGAGAGAGAATTTCATGTGGTTTTACCAACTATCAACTCATTTCATCCCCACAATAACCCCATAAGATAGGTTACCATCATTAACCCCTCCTACAGATGAGAAAACTGAGTCTTGGGAATGACAAATTTACCCAGGGTCATATTAAATGGTGGAGCCAGGAGTCAAACCCAGCCGGCTCCACAACCCACACTCCCACCAACATCTCTCTGGAAAGTGGAGATATAAAGCATGCATTCTGCTCTTATTATGGCTGTAAACATCTCCTAAAATTAACCCCAGAAAAGATGTAGGGAGAGGCCAGACATCCAGCCTTGGACCACTGTGAAGTTCTCAGTCAGAATTCCACAGACAGGCATGTTACAAAGCATTTCCTCCTGATGGCATCTGAGCCTGCACTACTGTGGAGCCCTCACTCACCTGTCTC